TCACCTTGATGGATTCTGTGAATATTAATGATATCTACATGTACATACAACTCGTGTTTCATTACCTGCAAACACCCGTTTGTCCTGTCTGCTCTGTCCACAGCAATCCACACAGTAGCCATGTCTGGAAACAAGTTGCCGTAATGGTACCAATCACTGGAAATAGCAATTAGCAGGATTAAAAACTCCTCTAACAGCAAATGCCTTTTCTAAATTTTGTTATGGCATCATTCTGACCTAAATGGTACTGTTTCTAACTGAAACCTAAAATGTCGACTCAACAGCTTGTGCAGCTAATGATCAGCTAATGCTCAATGGTCAAAATGCATAACCAGAGAGAACTAACTTGCAGTATGTCTTTGCTTTCTTTGAAAAGATATACGCAGCCTCCTCTTTGTGATAGTAATGCGAATGCGAGTGATGCAGTACGTAAAGGTCGTTACCGGACAGCTGTAGTCTATACTGGCTGTACGCTCTTTAAATTTTTACCTTGGCAACGTACAGGTTTGTGCAATGTGCGATGACACATGTTATATCAAAATAGTATCAAAATAATAACAAATAGGGTCCTGTAAATTTTTACCCGTAATCCTGGTGCCATACAAATGCACCCCCTGTGAACGGTTCTTTCATGACGACTTTGGCGTGATATTGATAAACCTCTCCCCCTAAAATCTGGAATCAAAGTTTGGAATTTTTTATTTGTTTGCTTACTGAATATACAAAATTTAATTGATAGGCTTTAAATGGACGCCAAATTTCCACAGAGATTGATAATCTCAGTATCTTAACTGAATATTGAAGCCTGGCAGTCTAAATAAGATTAATTGAATAACACACTTTGTGATTTTTCCTTCAAAAATGTAAAGACTAAGGCCTGGTACATGTATTAGGTAAAACAATTTATGCAGTGAAATAATGATTTAACATCAGAGGAAAAATGAACGACAGTCGACAAAGGCTAAGAGGCCTATGTAGCTACCTTTTCCACGGTACCGGCAGCTTTATCACTCCTCCCAATCATCCCGGTTATGTCATCCACAGGGTGCTTCCAGGTGGCCATTTCGGACTGATTACCTTCCCCATCGTCCCTGGTATAGTAATTGTCCTCCAGGGTCTTGTCTTGCTCCAGGGTCGTTCTTAAAGTAGCCACCTCTTCGGTGTCTAAAAAATTCCTGAATGCAAAGACATAATTGAGTTAAAGAAGGTTCAAGTGCTGCCTGAATGTCAATGTCTTTCAAGATCAGACGCAAATGTGTCTTTTTTTCCGTGATTGGTAAAAAAAATTCGGCGATAACGTTATCGGTCGATGCATACAATATCATGTTTGGCGATGGCGTCATCTGTCATTATGAATTTTATCAGCCTTCACTTTACCGGATATATATATGTAAGATTACATTCTGTATTTATCAAATAATAACACGCAGTGCGTATGTGTTAATAAACTCGGTTTACATCAGACAACATGTAATTTTAAATATCGAAATGTTCGATGCGAATATTCACTAGCATAAAATGTGTGCAGGGGGAGGTGGTGATATTGGATAGTTATTTCAACTTTCATTTAGGAAAACTCGTTAATCATGCAAGGAAGAGGGGAAAGTTTCGAAACTGTTCATTGCCTTACCGCAATATAATAAAACCATCCCTGTCAAACTGCTCTTTCACTTCGTCAGTAACGTCAAAGTTATCTGTATACTGATAGCCTAAAATTTTGAATGCATGCCTCTTAGTAAGACACATTTACTAGTGAACATATCATCATGCATAGAGATAACAACAGATTGTACACTTATCTTCACAGAGAAATCACAACACGCAAGCAAGCATGTTCAGAGACACACGCGATCCTACAGTTTCTCCCCCTTCTCTCTCTCTCTCTCTCTCTCTCTCTCTCTCTCACACACACACACACACACACATACACACACTATAATAAATTTAAATAAGCAGTCTGCGTACAGTTGCAGACATTTGTAAATGTGCTAACTGTCACTGGTTTGAATGCACGTCTGTCACGACGTAAGGTGCTACATATACTTAGATATATAATCAACGAAGGGTACTTGCTAAGATGATGTGTGGGGTTGCTTCACTTCCAATAAAAACTGATCGATATGAAAAATTAGCTATTGTGGAAAGAACCTGCCCTTTATGTGAATTTGGGTGTATTAAGGAAGAGGTCCACCTTCTACGTAACTGTCATTTTTTACTGATAAACGTGTTGAATTTTATTTAAAATTGCTTTTTTGATCTTTTAAATGATCAGAACAACTTTTTATTTATGATTAGTAATGATACCATGGTTAATTTAGTTGCCAAGAGTTGATGCCCATTTTAGAATTAAGGAGAGATAAATAGTTATCTATAAATAATGCTCTAAATAACGTATATTTCAAGGGATATTCAGTCTCTCACCGTTCTATATAGAACTGCCATAGTTAACTGCTTCTAATTTTTTATTTCTTTTTACATGGGTGAGACTAAAATAAAATATCTTGAATCTTTATATTGACAGGTCATTATCACTTAAAAACAAAAGTTACCTGTCCCGTCAGTCGTCCTTACAGATTCTCCCATTCTGTTACTCGTGTACTACTGCCAGCAAATGTGTGCAAGTTTACCACGTTTCCTTGTATTAAATGGCTTGGCTACAAACTAAGGGACCATTAATATTGAGAAGAGCCAAGTGCTAGTAAGGCTGGGACCTAAATATGGCGGACCTACATGAAAGAAAGACCACTTAATCCTGTGATGGAGAGCATTCACATCGAGAAGAGTCTCTCCGCCTCTTACACGCCTCCCCACGCGTTGTCCCTCGACCGGTTAAAGTGAGCTGAGATTTAATAACTGTGCACTACAGGGACGACGCGTGGGGAGGCGTGGGAGTGGCGGATAGACCATTGCAGGATTAAGCGGTCTTCATTTCACGTAGGTCCGCCATATTTAGGTCGCGAACTTACAAGCACTTGGCTCTTCTTAATCTGAATGGTCCCTAACATAGTTGAAGGTTACAGTTGGAGATCTAGCTGTTGCGGTAGTGTTTTTATCATGTTGTTTACAATTTATTTTCAATTGAAATTTACTTTTTATTCATTTTACACGGGCCCTCAGTTTCCTATCATCGGTGTCATCACAATGTAAAAAGAGTGCGTTGTGTGAATACAATAAGATTTAATAAATAAAAAGTTGGAAAACAGGCAACTGAATCTGCTGGTATTTTAGATCAATGTGTAAAAACACAAATTTACAGTGTGACAAGCCAAATAAGACATTTCAAATTATGTTTTACACTCATAATCAACTATAACAAAAATATTTGTTATAGTTAATAATAAAAATATATTTGTGGGAACAAAAATATTTTCTTTTAACATAATCAATTTATGTATTTTTTGTACTCCAAGGAATAAACTTAAAATACGCACATGGTAGCATTCTAGAGTGCTTAGACAATAGAAAAATTAAAATAAAATAAAGCTTAAATAATAAGCAAAATATTCAATGAGGAAAGTGCATTATATAACAAGGATAGTGTAATTTGCGTATTATAAAAAGTGTAATGTCAGTTAGTGGCAGCATGCAGCGAATAAGAGCGGGGAGTGTTTAGTAGAGTAACTTAAGTTGATTGACATGCTCTTATGGTATTTATACAACTGCGCTTAGTGTAAACAGGGAGAAGGCCGCTAGAGATTGCATGAGGTAGGAATAGAGATGAAGGAAGCGGCGCGGGTAATAACTGGACAGTAGTTCAATAAATAATAAGAAAGATAATATCTGAGTTGTATTTGCTACCTCGCGTAACATGACGAAGACAAGCCAATAACTTCGTCACAAAAGTTATAATAAAACAAAAACAATAAAGTGGCACACTGCTAAAATATCATTTTCATTCATTCATTTTCAGATATGTAATTGTCTATCGCGTACATGTATTTAAAATGCAACATCTCACACCCTAATGCATGTGCAGTGTACCACTTGTAGTGTAGCACTGGCAGTTTTGCATGTAGATTTATGACTATTACTCATGCTTGTCTACATTTTTGGAATATTTCGTTGTTAAATGCCAGCTGAAGAAAGCTACATCCATCTTGAACAAAAGAGTTCAATATAAATGTGTACCTATACAAAAAAATCGATCATTTTGCTGAAGATGACACATTTCCCATGGCAGTTTGATGCGATTGTCTACCTTATAGAGGTTTCAGGGTGAACTTATCTAGTCATGACATAACTGTCTATGATACATGTAGAGGTAGCAATTCTAATTGCTAAAACACCATTTAAAGTTGGATATTATATTGAATAAAATCATTATTTTGTCATTCAAAATAAGAGAAATTGATACATAATGACATTCTCAGAATATATAAATGACCATCTATACATCTATAGGGCATTGCACTTTCACACTTTATGTCTGAACGGAGTCTATTGTACAGCGTGTGTTTCAAAAATGTGACTTAGGCTGTATTCCCAGAGCTTTTAGATTGATCTATCCCCGTGGGGAGTCTCACTAGATTACTGTCAGATAATCCGGCTTAGATGTCCGTCCCGCCTACTACAAGCTGTAAGGGGGTAATTATCTTTCGTGTCCGCTCGGCTGACAGCTATTTAGCGTGAACCCTCAGGAAGTTAGGTCGATCTAAAGTAGATCGATCTAATCTCTGGAAAGGGGGTCTGACTAGAAGTTCAGAGTTCCAGGTTGGGACGAGGAATGGTTTTTTATCACGGGAAGATCAGGTTTACTTCTTTCAAAGTAAATTTAGATTCTACAAAAGTATTCACGCGTGTATGTAGAATGCTGGCACCAGTGCACTGTCTCTTTGATCCTAACCGTCTGATATGTTACTGATATGTAATAAGAAAGGTTCAAAACAAAAAATGCCTTTGTCATCAGAACGTTAATAGAATGAAAACCATTTAGCACATACGGTAACATTGTGTCTCATAATTGATCGGTGTCTGAATAAAATCTTAAATTATACTGTAGTTTAGGCCTTCCTCTCTAGCACTTCTATAGCAGAGTCACGCTCTCTTTTCGGTCCATGAGAAAATAGTTTTCCTTCGGTGGGTGTTTTGGTGCCACATTCCTTAATTCTGCTATTCTGCACCTTGATATGAGGAATAACAATATTGTGTTATTATGAAATAAATTGGCACATCAATCGCTAATGCTTCGAAATGGATTTGTTGCATGTGACGTCAAACCCTTTTCTGACAGGAACAGTAGTTTACGGGAGTGAAATTGCTTGCATAAATAATTGGAGAAAGGAACTTTCATATTTTGTCAATGTTATGATTACTGGCGCATTTAAAATCGACCAAATATTCAGTTTTTGTCAGCTAAAGATGAAAGGCTGACAATAAATGAAGAGCATACAAATAATGCATTATACAAAGCAATGTAAAGTCACTTACGTGCATTAATGTTAAAGGGGCTAATAGTAAATTGGACGCCAAGGGTCTATTCAGTTATGTGCAACTTTTAATGTTATGTATTATGTAAATGTAAACAACAAAAATTAAAAGTGAATAAAATAGTGAAATTAATGAGATAAGTGGATTAATGAATGAAACTGAAAAAAAATTGTTTGATTGTACTATACGCACCTTAATCAGGGGCGTGTAGTTAGCATAGTGATGTTTATACACTGGGTCATTGGATGCACGGTTATAGCAAACAAGGTAAGCCCAACGCCGGTTTTGGCTGTGATTCTGGTCACTTCGATGGAGCAGATTACAGTGAAATATCATAGCGTCTCCAGGGTCAAGCTGGACGTAGGTCAAGGGGCAGACTTTGGCAAGGAGTTCTACGCGTTCCGGGTCAGCCCCTGTTTGTTCACCAACTTTCACGTGCTCTATTCGACCAGCTCGATGAGAACCTGGCAGAATCTGCATGCATGGAAAAATTGCGGTGATAAGTCGCCTAAATATGTACGGCAAATGAATATGCAATACCTGTGTCACATATGTGTTCTACATATTTTACTTAAGTAAGAGTTACCAATGGTTTCTTTACAGACTGAAGAGACATCATCATTAATTCATGCTTTTAAATCATTCTTTGTACACTTTGGACAGATGTGAACATTGACATCAACATTCACCTCAATGGATTCTGTGAAAGTTAAAGGTGTCTATTTACAAGACAAGCTTCATTACCTGCAGACATCCATTTGTCTTGTCTGCTCTGTCCACAGCAATCCACACTGTGGCCATGTCCGGAAACAGGTTGCCGTAAAGGTACCAAGAACTGGAAAATAGCAGTAATCACAAGTGCAGTAAATAACTATCATACATGTATTAAGGAATTATGAGAATTTACTCTTTATATTTTGAGTAAAATCTCATCAGAAACAAAATGCCTTTTCTAAATTTTGTTATTACATGATATTTACCTAAATGACACTGTGTACCAACTCAACAGCTTGTTCAAATGCGCCAACTCAACAGCTTGGCTAATACCAATGGCCAAAAAACATGACTAAAGATAACTAATTTTTTAAAGGAATTAAAATCTCATATTTTTAAGACATTTTATTCATGAATCTTAAATTTTACAATTTTAAAGAAACCTTGGATTTTTTACTTTTAATTACTGTTTATTACAATTAAGTTAGTTTAGCTCTTATTTATATAAAATATATCTTAACCGTTTTTATCTATAAACTTCTTTGTATTTTATGTTGTACAGTCTATTGAACATTTTATGGATTTTAGACTTGAAATAAATATTTTNGCATTTTTTATTAGTGTTTGATACATTATACATGTAAATGATTGCATAAAGACGGTAGCTATGCATACATGTATAACTAATTTCCGTCGTCAGTGAAATTGTGGCATTTTTATTATGACCAAGTTTTTTTATATATTATACATGTAAATGATTGCACAAATACACTAGCTGAGCCCTGCTAATTTCCTTTGTCGGGGATTAAGTCAACGGTGTAATTATGCAAAATATAAAAAATAACATATCATATTAGCAATACCTGACCAAGGCAATAGGCCAAAAGATCGGTTGGTATATTTGTATTTTAATGTCATTTCAAAAGCAGTTAGTCGTGATAAAGGACGTCGCAATTGTCTTAATTGCGAGTAAAGAGGAGCGTTCGACTATGCCATGCAATACCGTAATCAAGGGTGTTAATAATAATAGGTGAACCTTTCGATGCATATGCTAATTAAAATCGGCCGAATCGGTGCATAGGTAAGCTAAGCACCTTTACTGTATTTCATGGGTACATTTGGGACGAAGAAAGCCAAATTTTGGTCACATATCATTTTTAAAATGCCAGGGTTGTCAATAAACTAAACGATGACTTCAACGTTTCTCTCTTGAGATCTTAACTCCCTTGGTAATTCTGAGTAAGTTGTCTAATAAAATGAAATCAGTTTTGTACCATAATCCGACGTCAGCAAAGGATATTCAAGATGCTTTGAATGAAGAGGGAGAAACACATTTTCTTTACACATAATCAATTTGTGTATTTATTGCATGCTCTTATTCTGATATTGCAAGAAATAAATATATAGTACGCACAACGTAGCATTTTCAGTGCATAAGCAATAGACATTCACCCAAATGAAGCTTAAATTAGAAGCAAAATATTTAATGAAATTTAAATATTAAAAGAAATTGATTGAAAAAATTAAAGGAAAAGAGCATAATATCACAAGAGCTACAGCTATAGTATATTCCTCACCAATCATAAAATAATTGAAACAAAAAATTAATTTGGTGCTCTGCTAAATTACTATATATTTTCAGACAAAATCAGATGGCCGTTTGATTTGGAGATTCATTCACTTCCCATTGTGTAAATAATTGCATGTTTTTCTCTGACCACAGGGTGCGCTTGTTGTCTGCTGCAAAATAATTTTATTGTTGGTACTATAGTTTTGCATCTTATTTTAGAAGGCCGGGATGTTAGAGGGTCCTTGAAAAAAAACTTTCCTTCGGTGGATGTTTTAGTGTCACATTCCTTTATTCTGCTATTCGGCACCTTGAAATAAGAAAGGAACGATATGTTATGAAAAATAAAGCGGCACGTCAATCGCTATAATATTTCATAATGGACCACTTGCATTTGACGTAATGTTTTGTTTTGTTTTAATAAATAGTAGGTTTAGGGGAATGAAATTGCCTACAAATAAATGGAGAAAGGGGCTTTCATATTTTGCCAATGTTATGACTACTGGCTTATTTAAAATCGACCAAATATTCCGTTATTGTCAGCTAAAAAAGAAGGGCAGACAATAAAAGTAGCCCATAAAGGTAATGCATAATACAAAACAATATAAAGGGCACATGAATGTTAAAGAGTTGATAGTGAAATGGACGCCATAGGTCTATTCGGCAAAGTTCAATTTAAAATGTGGCGCATTATGCATATTTAACAAACAAATATAAAAATGATAAAAATGGGAGATTAATGAACGTAACTATGATAATATTGGAATGTATTATGCCCACCTTAATCAGGGGCGTGTAGTTAGGATAGTGATGTTTATACACTGGGTCATTGGATGCACGGTTATAGCAGACAAGGTAAGCCCAACGGCGGTTCTGGCTGTGATTCTGGTCACTTCGATGGACCAGATTACAGTGAAATATCAGAGCGTCCCCAGGGTCAAGCTGGACGTAGGTCAAGGGGCAGGTTTTGGCAAGGAGTTCTACGCGTTCCGGGTCAGCCCCTGCTTGTTCACCGACTTTCACGTGCTCCAGTCGCCCAGCTTGATGGGAGCCAAGTAGTATCTGCACGTATATAAAGGATGAGGTGATTAAATACAGTCTCTTTGGTCTAATCTATACAGTGGCGGACATGTAGAAATAGCTTTGAAAGGTACTTGTCTTTGCGTGTATGAAGTTAGCGGACGTCACTATGCACATTCTTTATAGGAAAAAACAATAAGAGAAGCTGGTGGTGTCGCCTAAGTAGGAGTAACCTATGCTTCCTTTAAGGACTGCAGAGACATCAATATTTCATGCTTTTGAATCATTCTTTGTATAGAATTGAACATTGGCATCAGCATTCACCTTGATGGATTTTTTGAATATTAATGATAGCTACATGTACTACAACTCGTGTTTCATTACCTGTAGACACCCGTTTGTCCTGTCTGCTCTGTCCACAGCAATCCACACAGTAGCCATGTTTGGAAACAAGTTGCCGTAATGGTACCAATCACTGGAAATAGCAATTAGCAGGGCGGGCAGTAAATAACCACCAATACGAAGAAAATATGGGAATATATTCTTGATATCGTGATTCAAAACTCATCTAACAACAAATGCCTTTTCTAAATTTTGCTATGGCTTCATTTTGACCTAAATGGAACTGTTTCTAACTGAAACCTAAAATGTAGACTCATCAGCTTGTGCGTAAACACCGTGGGGCTAATTAATGCTCAAATGTGTGGCGTGTACCGCTCGGAGCGTGTACCATCCATTCTGCTCATGCGCACAAAGCGCAGGCAAATCTGAAAGACTCTCTCGAGTCATCAATACATTCTTAGCCTTTAATAAACATGTGCTGTTGAGAACATACTGCAAATTCAAACATAAAGTATTCATATCTTATAGATGTTCACCTCTACTGTGATTTTCCTCAGGTGGCCATATCAACACACTAGCCTAATAAAATCAATACTGAAATAGTAGGCCAACAGCTGAATAACGACGGCCCGTCCACAGTAGGTTCATCCATGCGTCGAACTGTAATTTGACGCTGATTCTCTATCAAAATTATCAAGTAACACATGAATTTTACCTAGAAATATCCCCATCATACTTAATGTATAATGAGGTAGGAAATGAACTAGCCGAATATAACAGTACAGGTGAATTACAATGGATCATTCACGGAACGGCTCATATCGTGTCTGCTGCGTGTACAATCGGCCAGGACGGATGGTTCACGCAGAACGGACCGTACACATGACACCGGGCAGCTTTATTCTATACTGGCTGTAGGCCCTTTAAATTTTCACCTTGGCAACCTACACGTTTGTACAATGTGCTATGACACATGTTTTATTAAAATAGTATCGAAATAATAACAAAAGGGGTCCAGTAAAAATTTACCCGTAATCCTGGTGCCATACAAATGCACCCCCTGTAAATGGTTCTTTCATGACGACTTTGGCGTGATATTGATATACCTCTCCCCCTAAAAGCTGGAATCAAAGATTGGAATTTTTTAATTTGTTTGCTTACTAAAGATACAAAATTTAATTTATAGGCTTAAAATGGACGACAAATTTCCACAGAGATAAATAATCTCAGTATCTTAACTGAATACTGAAGCCTGGCAGTCTAAGTAAGATTAATTGAATAACACGTTTTGTGATTTTCCCTTCAAAAATGTAAGGAATAAGGCGTAGTATTAGGTAAAACAATTTGTGCAGTGAAATCATGATTTTACAGTCGAGGAAAAATGAACGACAGTCGATAAAGACTATACAGTATGAGGCCTATGTAGCTACCTTTTCCATGGTACCGGCAGCTTTGTCACTCCTCCCTATCATCCCGGTTATGTCATCCACAGGGTGATTCCAGTTGGCCATTTTGGCCTGATTTCCCTCCCCATCGTCCCTGGTATAGTAATTGTCCTCCAGGGTCTTGTCTTGCTCCAGGGCCGTTCTTAAAGTAGCCACCTCTTCGGTGTCTAAAAAATTTCTGAACGCAAAGACATAAGAGGGTTAAAGAAGGTTTAAGTGTCTTTCAAGACCAGACGCAAATGTGTCTTTTTCTTTTTTCCATGATTGGTAAAAATTTCGGCGATAACGTCATCGGTCGATGCATACAATATCATGTTTGTCTATGGCGTCATCTGTCCTTATTGAATTTTATCAGCCTACACTTTACCGTATATATATGTAAGATCACATTCTGTATTTATCAAATAATAACACTCAATGCGTATGTGTTAATAAACTCGGTTTTCATCAGACAAAATGTAATTTTAAATATCGAGTGTTCGATGCGAATATTCACTAGCATAAAAGGTGTGCAGGGGGAGGTGCTGATGTTGGATAGTTATTTCAACTTCCATTTAGGAAAACTCGTTAATCATGCAAGCAAGAGGGGAAAGTTTCGAAACTGTTCACTGCCTTACCGCAATATAATAAAACCATCCCTGTCAAACTGCTCTTTCACTTCGTCAGTAACGTCAAAGTTATCTGTGTACTGATAGCCTAAAATGTTGAATGCATGCCTCTTAGTAAGACACATTTACTAGTGAACATATCATCTTGCATGAAAATAACAATAAATTGTACACAGCAAAATCACAACTCACAAGCAAGCATGTTCAAAGACACACACGCGACCCTACAATTTCTCTCTCCCCCTCTCTCTCTCACATACACACACGCACACTCACACTCACACACACACACACACACACACACACACAGACGCACGCACACAACACACACATTATAATAAATTTAAATAAGCAGTCTGCGTACAGTTGCAGACTTTTGTACCTGGGCTACTTGTCACTCGATTGAATGCACGTCTGTCAAGACGTAAGGTGCTACATATACATAGATATATAATGAACGAAGGGTACTTGCTAAGGTGATGTGTGGGGTTGCTTCACTTCCAACAAAAACGGCTTGATATGAAAAATTAGCTATTGTGGAAAGAACCTGCCCTTTATGTGAATCTGGGTGTATTAAGAAAGAGGTCCACCTCCTACTTAACTGTCATTTTTATTGATAAACGTGTTGAACTTTTTTAAATTGCTAGATTTTTTAACAATTTTAATCTATTAATAATGCTCTAACGTAGATTTCAAGGGATATTCAATCTCTCGTCGTTCTATATAGAACTGCCGTATTTTACTGCTTCTAATTTTTTATTTCTTTTTATATGAATGAGACTAAAATGAAATATCTTTAATCTTTATACTGACAGATTATTATCACTTAAACACAAAATTTACCTGTCCCGTCAGTCGTCCTTACAGATTCTCCCATCCTGTTACTCGTGTACTACTGCAAGCAAATGTGTGCAAATTTACGACGTTTCTTTGTATTTAATGACTTGGCTACAAACTGATATAGTTGAAGGTTACAGATGGAGAACTAGCTGTTGTGGTAGTGTTTTCAATTGACATTTACTTGTTTTTCATTTCACGCGGGCCCTCAGTTTCCTGTTATCGGTGTCATCACAATGTAAAAAGAGTGCGTTGCGTGAATACAATAAGATTAAAAATAAAATGTTGCAAAACAGGCAACTGAATCTGCTGGTATATTACATCAGTGTGTAAAAACGGCACCTTTACAGTGTGGCAAACCAAATAAGACATTTCAAATTAAGTTTAAACCTGTCGATTAATCATAATCAACTATACCAGACTTACAGGATGTCTAGACATACGTGTGAGATCCAATCGAATAAGGTCAGTTCTGAGCCAAAACACAGAATCAACGAAGAATATTTCAGTTGCTCAGTACACGATGGTCGGCAACACTTTGTTAGCAGAGGGAACAAAAATATTCTTTTAACATAATCAATTTATGTATTTATTTCTATATAACAGATGTACTTATCAATAGATCCTCTTACCCATGACCTGAAAACCTTAGCCTCTTTAAAACATTTTTCAAATGTTCATGCAGACATGTCTACATTCCTAATTTTAAAGCATGGCCAGAAATGTGCAGCATTTAAGCGATACGCGAGGGCGCAACAGTAGGGCTTCACGTGACTCAATTAACCAATCACAGCACAAGAATGGCATCGCACACAGACTATGTGATTAAGTGCTCAGCCCATTGTCAAGTAGTGTTAGTTCATGGTAACAAGCGTCTGATATGTGCAGAGTAGTTTATTATTATAATATATATTTTTCTTATTGTTACATTATTAAATCTAACTCTGTATCCAAGTAGTAACTATACTGTTCCAAGTCAGGTGCTGATGATGTGCAGAGGTCATATATTCCAGTATAAGCCATTACCACTGATTTATAACTTTTATTTTTGTTTAATATGTTATTCGTGAAAGAGTTCATGAAAGATTATTTTAATTTGTTAAATCATGATCTTATTCTTTTTATATTCAAATAATTAAGTAATGTGGGTAAAATTGGTCTTCCACTTCTTATTTGCATTTTTCCTTTACTACAAGATTAATTTGGAACAGTTGCAGTATTAAAAATTTTAATAAATAGCAATCTGAAAGAAGAATTTGCATAATTATTAAATGATGATAGGAATTTTGGATTAAGACATTAGTTAAATACTGAGAAGTGATATGGTCAGTCAATTTATGCAGAATCTGATAACATGATTGAAAATACTGATTGAATTCTTGGCATTGCACTGGGCAGTTGTACATTTGTGGCAAGTGCTCTTTTTGGACTCCATTGTACAGTGGTAAAAAATCTTCAATTGCCATGAAAGTTTTTCATCAGACTCTGTATGGTGCTGCTATCTGCTGGTGCTATCGGCAACGAATTAATTTGCCTTTGTTTCTGAGTGAATTTACCGTCTAAAATCACTATTACTGAAAATATTTACGCTTTGCTGAGGGTAGGCTAGGCAATATACGGCAAACTTCTTAGTACGTGTGTACAACAGAATTTTTTTTAAAAACCCTAGCGATTTTTGGTCAGGAGTTGCTTGAAGCATAGCACAGCGTTTCTGTCTATCGGCATCAGGCCGTTAGTTTGTCAATTCTCACGAATTACCCACGAATCGCGAATCCATTCATTTTCCTATGGCAATCTAGCAACTCATTAAAAATGCACGCATCCGCAGTGGGCTAGGCGTGACGTCATGCAGTGCATTTCTGGGGATGGTCAATACAGGATATGCTGTTATATTGCACATAGGAAATATGCCAGATTCCTAAAACTGAGCCAAAAATCAGCAACGATTTGCAGCAGACACACAGGGCAAACAGTGCTGTACTCACATTGGTGTAGATGTGTACTGCCAGCCAGTGACACAGTGCCATCTGGACAGAGTTGACAGGTAGTCTGGGCCTGTAAGTCCTGGCACGTCCCTGGTCCACACAAGCCACACTCACTGGTGCCATCTGGTGAGGAATTGTTGTAGAAGCTGCCTCTGGGACAGGCCACTGCAAAATGACCTGTCGCAGTTAATCACTATTTACCGGCCGATGACCATAGCTATTAATTCTTTGAGTTACTTCCGCCCTCAGATTTTCAATTGGTTTATATCTGGGGAGTTTTCAGGCCAGGGCAGTTGCTGAACCCATTGGTTTTGAAGAAAATCAATAATTCTGCGAGCTCGATGTGGGTTTGCGCAGTCGTCTTGGTACCCAAAGTTGTTCCTGAAGATGACTCTTACGAATCGAAGCATTGTTTGCTGTAGAATCTCCATGCAGGAATCCTGGTTGAATCCTGGTTGAGTACACGATTATCGTTTTATGCCTCTCGTACACGTCGGCGGACACGGATTCGACCGTCAACACTAAAAATCTGCAATGTAAATTTGGCCTCATTACTGAAAACGACGCGATTCCCGTGTTTTGGCTGCAAACGCACGTGGTCCCTAGCCCATTGCAGACTGCTGTATATGACCTGCTATTAACACTGGTTTCTCTACTGGTCTTCGTGCAAACTAACCGGCTTGCAGCATTCTCTTGTTCACGAGGGACCTTGAAACGGGCGTTTGAATGACATTATGCCACTCTTTTCTGATACTGGTTGTCTTTGTACGACCAGCACGGCGCACTCTAAGGAGAAGGCGATCCTGTCTTCTTGGTGTGATACGCGGACACCCCTATCATGTAACGTGGATGCTGAATTTTTTTACCATAATTTTTTTATCATAATGTACAAGTAGTGCGTTGAAAAATGAATAAAAAAGTTGAAAAAATAAAATGTTGTAACAGAAGACATAAAACCTTCCGGCATTCTATATCATTGTTTGAAAACGGTGCTTTGGTCAGTTTGACAAACTCAACAACGCGTTTGCGGTTTTATTTACAGTTGTAGATTAATTTCTACCAATTAACCACCATATGCTTAGACAGAGGTAAGACTTGTGTTATGAAGGTGTGTTTTCCTTTTCTATTTTATCAGAAATTATATATACACTGTTCACCTGTATTGATACTAGTTTTGTATGCACCGTTTATTGAAATAGGCGTGTAAAATATGTGTACACGTGTGTGTGTGTGCGTGCCTGCCTGCCTGCGTCCGTGTGTGTGTTCGTGATAATCTTAATTATATCGTATTCCTTAAAAGATTCGTTACTAGTATTGAGAATAAACATTAATTGTGGTATCTTTTATTATGATCCACTATTTAGTAGAATATAAATGGTTTCATAAGTACGCTATCTGACCATTTGGCTTATTGCACTCTTTGGGATTGAATCAATTTCATAACAGTAATACCCGAAAAAGTTAATCAGCATCAATGCCAGATAGCGTATTTAATTTATTATTATTATTTTATTATTTCATTTTTATTTCAACTTGTAGGCCAATTAACTTCTGTTCCTGTCGGAAAAAAGGTGTTGGTCAATTAACTTGGTCACGAAATGGTCTGGGCCAGGTCCTTATTAGGATGTGGTCTGGGTCACTAACGAAGTAGGCTAGATTAATCCTGGACCTGTAACATTATGTCTGCATTAGACGTCTGTACAATGTCCGTGAAAAATTTCTCCCCAAAAGCATTGGTCGATGGGGGCGACCCTTCTATTGTCCAGTGTGTGTAAATCCCTGATATATAATTAAAAAATTCAAAACAAAATAGCCTTTGCCACATAACCGTTAGTAGAATAAAAACCATTTAACACATATGGTAACATTGTGTCTCACAATTAATCAGTGTCTGAATAAAGTCTCAGAAAATACTGTAGTTTAGGGTTTTCTCTTTAGCACTTCTATAGCAGGGTCAAGGTCTCTTTCCGGTCCTTGGAAGAATAGTTTTTCTTCGATGGGTGTTTTGGTGCCACATTCCTTAATTCTGCTGTTCGGTACCTTGATATAAAAATGAACTATCAAAAAGTTATTATGAAATAAAGTGCCACGTCAATTGCTATGTTTTGTAGTAGAACAGTTGTATGCGACGTGACGCTTTTTTCCGATAGGAACAGTTGTTGAGAAGAGTGAAATCGCCCATAGAAATAAATGGAGAAAGGAGCATTCATATTTTGCCTGTGTGATGACTACTGGCACATTTGAAATAGACTTAATATCCCGTTATTGTGAGCAAAAGAAGAAAGGCTGACAATAAATAAAGACAATATAGATGCATTATAAAAACCAATGTAAAGGTCACTTATGCGCATGAATGTTAAATGGGTTAATAATAAAATGGACGTCAAGGATCTATTCAGATACACATGTATGTGCAACTTTAAATGTTTTATATTACGCAAATTTAACTATCAAATATGAAAATAAAAAATAGTACAAAAAAAATAATGAAACTGAAAAAAATGTACTACATGTATGCCCACAATGATTGTACTATGCCTACCTTAATCAGGGGCGTGTAGTTAGGATGGTGATGTTTACACACTGGGTCATTGGATGCACGGTTATAGCAGACAAGGTAAGCCCAACGCCAGTTCTGGCTGTGATTCTGGTCACTTCGATGTAGCAGGTTGCAGTGGAAAAACATAGCGTCTCCAGGGTCAAGCTGGACGTAGGTCAAGGGGCAAACTTTGGCCAGGAACTCTACGCGTTCCGGTTCAGCCCCTGCCTGGTCACCAACTTTTACGTGCTCTATTCGACCAGCTCGATGAGAACCTGGCAGTATCTGCATGTTTTAAACATTGCGGTGATAAGTCACCTAAATATGTACGGCAAATGAATATGCAATATGTGTGTCACATGTTTTTTTTTTTTTTTATTTTTTTTTTTTGATAAATATGGGAGTAACAAATGGTTCATTTACTGACTAGTCTAGAGAAATGAACATTGGCATCAACACTCGCCTTGATGAATTCTGTGAAAGTTAAAGATATCTATTTAGAACGCTGTGTTTCATTACCTGTAGACATCCATTTGTCTTGTCTGCTCTGTCCACAGCAATCCACACTGTGGCCATGTCCGGAAACAGGTTGCCGTAAAAGTACCAATAACTGGAAAATAGCAGTAACCATTTGCTCCGATT